TTACTTATGCACACATTCATCTTCAGCGTCAAAAACATTATTTTAAAGCAGGCAGCAGAATACAAACACTGTTTGGGACAGTGCAGTATATTACAGCCTCCTACAGAATGTTAATAAATATCTTAATTCATCTCATCTCCACTTGCATGTAAATTTTGCTAGTCATTAAGTTTGAGGTGCCCTGGTGCAGTATTGGGTTATGTGTTGGACTGCTAATTACAAGATCAGCAGTACAAAACTACTAGCGGCTCCATGGCAGAACGATAAGGCTTTCTGTTCTCATAAAGATTTACAAGGTTAGGAACCTATAAGGGCCGTTCTACTCTATCCTATAGGGTCACTGGGAGTGGGAATTGACGATGGCCATGAAGAAGGGAGTCGTTAAGTTCAGCCCTGTGCAATCATTTTTAAAATGCTCTCATTGCATTAGTCATTAATTTTAACTTTGGAAAACTTTTTGGACATAAATAACTAGAAACACGTGAATATTTATGACTAGAATATACCAGAATGTGAAAGTTTACTCTAAAATGGTAGGATTTGGGGCAAGTTATTATGTAATTTATATTTCTAAGGACTTTAAAGAAATGTTAGAGGTGCCATATTAACTTTCATACTTTTGTGATTCAAATTAAAGTGTAATTACATATGTATGTTATCATTGGACACATTGGATTCATTGAACTTTTACATACATTTTAAATTTATTTATATAGAGGGGTGGGGTCAAAAAAATTGGCTCTGTAACCTAAGAGCTATTATGTTTTCTTTTCAGGAATTCTGCAGTAGAGACTGTAGAACAAGAACTCCTGTTTGTTGGGTCTGAGACTGGAAAACTTCTGGCCATGAGGGAACTTGTTAAAAAGGTAAGTTTGAACAATCTTCTGGAACTTAGTAAGTTCTGTGCTGGCCTGCTAACCACAAAGTTACATTTGAGCCAAGTTACGTGAGACGACTGGATGTTTTGGGAGAACACAGCCAGATTATTTTTAAGCAAAACGAATTAAGCAGTGGTGTGTAAGATGAATTTTGATGAAAGAGACTGAAAGCAAGGGAACCAATTAATGGGCTGTTAAGTAGACTGGGCAGAGCTGAAGAGAAGTAAACAAGGTGACAGCCTTGGTGGTGGTGGGATCAACAGTTGGAGAATGAAGGGGACAGGTGTTAGCAGGTATGTGGTGACTGCAGAAACCGTGAACTTTGGTGGTTTAAGGGCATGGATTCTGGAACCAGACCGTCTGGATTGGAACTCTAGCTCTACCACTTTGCTGTGGTGAATTTAGGTAGCTTATTTAACCTGTTCCGCAGTTCACTTGTAGATTGGACTACTCTGTCCCAGGATTGTTAGTAGTAATAATTGATTCTGTTCAAATACTGTCCCAACAACAGTACCTGGCACACGGTAAATGCTGTGTAAATGTGTCTTATTCCTAAGGTTTCCAAAAGGAATCAAGCTCGCCTGCAACCCTCGCAACCCCAGACTAGAACCGCCACTATGGATTTCCGAGGCGGTACATCTTAATTAATATTACGATCTTATTGAACGCAGTATAGTAAAGATTATAATTAAGAGAACTAAGAGCCAAATACTCAGCCCTGGGAAATAGCACAATTTGGAGAAAGCATATTTTAAAATGACAATTGTTACTACATTTTAAGCAGAATCACAGAAGCTACGGTATGATTCTTCAGGAAGTAGACATTCATTATTCAGATTAAAAATTAAAGAAGAGTTCACCAAACAAAATTACTGGAATTAGCAAACTGGAGACGACCGTTCAAGTTCACTGGTAGAACAGATAGCCTTTGTAGAAAGCGGATAGTAAGAGAGCTGGTTTATGAAATTTGGCAGTGAAAACTGTGTCAAATTTGAATTGGTTCCTTCATGCATGAAACTGAAATACTGAGCGATTGTAGTCTTGATTACGGGTTATGTGTGCTGATTTTTGCCTTCTTTTTTTCAGGGTTTCAATCCACCTGTTCTTGTTTTTGTTCAGTCCATTGAAAGGGCTAAAGAACTTTTCCACGAGCTCATATATGAAGGTATTAATGTGGATGTTATTCATGCAGAGAGGACGCAGCAACAGGTGAGGCAAACATCCTTTCACCACTGTAGAGAACTTCTCCATTTACAAACATTGGCAATTAAATATATGAAAGACTTTCTTCCCAGAGTGGTACTAAAGCATGTAATACATCTTCTGTTAATCAGAGAGATAACACCGTCCACAGCTTCAGAGCAGGAAAAATCTGGGTTCTTATTTGTACAGCCCTATTGGCAAGAGGGATTGATTTTAAAGGTGTGAACTTGGTGATCAATTACGACTTTCCAACCAGCTCAGTGGAATATATCCACAGGATAGGTAAGTTGGCTTTTATTTTCCCTCTGCCTCCATTAGTATTTCTTCTGTCCCCTTCAACTTACTTTGAAAACCCAGTTGCTTTTATATGTGCTTATGAGGGTCCTTTCCCACCCAGATACGTTTTTATGATCTGATATCTTTTAGGTCGAACTGGAAGAGCAGGACATAAAGGAAAAGCTGTTACTTTTTTCACTGAAGATGATAAACCATTATTAAGAAGGTAAATTGGGAAAAATAACTTGGAATTAAGTTGGCAAAATTGCTTTATTCTGTAATGTACATTCAGCTAACAAGTAATTTCATCAATTCCAAAATGACAGTGTCCACCCACTTCTCCGCAGAGAGGAGGCTGTATGTAGATCCTTGTCATCAGTTCCCCATTTCTACCCCACCCTCCCTCCAACCTCTGGGCCCACCACACCCTCCCTCCACCCTCCACGTATCACCACTTTGACGCTGGTCCTAAAGGGATCCTGGATTCCCTGTGTTTCCAGTTCTTATCTGCACCAGTGTACATCCTCTGGCAACTTTCTCTTTTTTGCTGACCTTCTACTTTACCAAGTATGATGCCCTCCTCCAGGGACTGATCCACCTGAAACCCATCCAAAGTGCATGGCAAAGTCTTGCCACCCTTGCTTCTACGTAGCATTTGGTTGTACTTCTTCCAAGACAGATTAGTTTGTTCTTCTAGCAGCCCATGGTCCTTTCAATACTCCATTCTTCAATCTTCCTTATTCATTGTCCATCTTTTGGATCCATGGAAGCAGAATTAAAATACCGTGGTTTGGGTCAGGCACACCTTCATCCTCAAAGCGACACCTTTGCTCGCTCGGTCAATTCTAGCTTTGTTATATTATTTAGGAGTGATCTAGGGGAATCTGAGATCAGTAGCTTTGTTTGGCATCTAAGAGAGTAGAGACAGTAAGAGGAGAAAGAGCTTATTCCTTTCCTCTGGCTCTGTTCTTTAACAGTTGGCTATAAAGAACACACAATCACTGGAAAGGTTTATGCACTTTCTGAAACGGATTTTTTTAAACACTAAAATATTTGTTTGCTTTGTATATGTTATTGTGAGCTAGCAAATCCAGTTCTGCATATTGCTACCAATTTAAATAAATATTTGTTTTTAAAAAAATGACAGCGTCCCAGAATTCTTTTATAATACTGCCTGCTAAGGAAAGGAAGACCGATGAGAAGGCCTTGTGTTTGCCTTTCTGTTATTAAAATGGGAAATATTCATAATGGACTATTAATAGTTTGTTTAACACACAGTTCTCCTAATAGCCATCATTTGATATTCCTCATAATACTGTATCCAGGTTTTTGAATAAGTAAGTTTGATGTTGGCCACCTAGATCAGTTTACCTCAGTCAACTGTATCTTACGGTGTATGCGTCCCATTCTCTCAGTAATCCAGTCTGAGCATGCCTGGTAAGAACTGGTAATATCACAGAGCACGCACCCTTCAGGTAGTTTTCATTTTCTTAAACTGTGCAGAGGTTTTCAGTGCATACACATCAGTTTGACATGATAAAAATGTATGTTTGGTTTTTGTTTTGTGTCCTCAGTGTTGCCAATGTTATACAACAAGCTGGATGTCCTGTGCCGGAGTACATAATGAGTTTTAAAAAACTACTAAGGTACCACCTTGAATTGACCTGGAGCTGCTCTCTCTCTCATGCTCACTCTCTGCACACACCTTCTCGCTTCGCGTTCCCTTACACATTGTAGTTCTAACAGTCATATTACGATTTGAGCATTTTAAGAAAAAAAATTTGCTTTTAGGTGTTTGTGAATGCTGTATGCTTTGTTTTTTCCATCTTTGAAACTTAAGTTGTTCTGATTTTTTTAAAGTTACTTAGTGTGAATAAGATAGGCTTAGAATTTGTTTTATAACTTCATGCATAAATATAATGGTAAAAAGCAGGTCCAGACTCAAACTGTAGTGCTTATTGATTGGCATGGGTGTATCTTAATCAGAATCTGTGGGGGGTTTGTTTTAATTTGAATTGATGGTATTTATCCTCCCTTTTGCTTAGTTCTAATAGGTAGTCTCTTATATGAAAATGGACATGTTCCCTAGTGAAAACATGTGCATTGTTTAAAAATGAGTTTTACAATTAAGAATTTTTAAAAATTAACAATCAAGTAGTTTTAGTTTTAGCTCTTCTAAATTAAGTTGAACTTAATTTCTTTTCTCTCATTCTGTTACTTTTAGCAAACAAAAGAAAAAGATGGTCAAGAAACCACTGGAGAGGGAGAGCATTAGTACAACTCCAAAATATTTCTTAGAAAAAGCCAAGAGTAAACGGTAAGCAGATGGGGCGGAACAGTTGCTGCTTGACTCCATCTTACGGTTATGGTAGGCATTGTTTTCCTTCGGGTGACTCTTCACAAGTGGATGGAGAGCTCTGCAGTGCCTTCTAGAATGTGATACAAGGAGTATATCTGATTGCCTTTGGGGAATTCTTCTGTTTCTGTGTACTAATGATCTAGTTCTTCCATCTTTGGAAAGATGGTGTAGAGTTGATAGTGCCCACCATCTTCACCCGCCTGCACCAGGGGTGCCTGAGGCCAGTACTTACAACGGTTGACTTGCATTGAGGAGCGCTCATGAAGCTCCGTATTCTGGGCAGTTTCAGGATGATTTCAGCCTGATGCTGAAGCAGGTTGTAGCCACCTCGAAAGAGTATTGCTTTGTAGTAGCTTAACTGAATTGTAGGAGAATGTTAAGACATTGATTTTTAGCATGCACAAAAGACTACCTTTTTACCCATTACTGCTAGGAAGTAGGTTAATAAGAGCAAGAGTAGGTTAAAATACCCCGAACAGCTGTCTGCTAGCCCAGTGGTTCTCAACCTTCCTCATGCCGCGACCCTTCAATACAGTTCCTCATGTTGTGGTGACCCCCGACCATAATATGATTTTTGTTGCTACTTCATCACTGTCATTTTGCTACTGTTAAGAATCAGGTGACCCCTGTGAAAGGGTCGTTTGACCCCAAAGGGGTCGAGACTCACAGGTTGAGAACCGCTGCTCTAGTCCCTTCAAACTTGTTTTTGTTAGTGCTCAAAAAAACCCAGTGACTTTCATTTGTGCATTTGAGGTTCCTTCCCCCCGCAAAAATGGTTTCTCTTAGGGTGAACTGGAAGAGCAGAACATAAGGAAAGTGCCCCTCTTCCAATTATAGCAGTGTAGTATTAAATTAAAAATGTCACGGAGGTGGGGCGGTGGGAAGCCAGCCCCACCCGCTACTAGAACTCACTGGTTCAGTAATACTACTTCTGGGTTCAGTAATGCACAATTGTACGGTTGAGATACATAAGTATTATATTAGAGTCATTGAGAGCATCAGAGATACTACAATAATGCAGTCAGACACATTACATGGTAGCATTGCTCACCTCAGCCCAGCTTGGTGGTCCTCATGGAGAGAGGGGGAAGGGAAGGAGGTGAAGGGAACAAGGGAGAGGGTAGTGACCAGGGAGTGAGCAGCAAGGAGCTCAGAGTCAGAGAGGTCTGAGAGGTCAGAGCGCTCTATATTGCTGACTCAAGCCTATATACCTTTTGGGGGCAAGCCAGCCCACTAATTACAGGTAGAGACATACGTCACAGGGAGGAGCTGCACTATAGGTTACACAGCAATGAGAGGGTGGTCTAGGGGTTGGTCTCTGGGTCTGCATAGGAACCATTATCAGTAGGGTGCAAACTCCTCCTACAGGAGCCTGTCCATTGTACCCAGAGGCAGGGAGCAGGCCCACCCCTGCGGTGGGATGAGACAGCAGTCTGGCAACTGATTGCCCTCAGTGGAGGGAATGCCTTTGCATCTTACCTCCTCCCACATAGTAGTATCAGATAACACAAGCTCTGAATGAATTGCTTGGTTATAATGATTTCTATGTTGTATAGTGGGGTTCTTGAGAGTATCATCAATGACCTTTTACTGTATATAAAAGTTGATGCTTCTTTTTGCTACCTGAAATCTGTTCTGTGGGAATCATTACAAAAACTGTTCTCATCACCAAGTAGGCATTTACTGAATACCTATGATCTCGCCAGGTGCTTGGGAATACAAGGAGGTTTAAAATGGGGCTCCTTCCCTAATATTACAAAAAGGAGATTAGTGTACTTGAAATAGAATGATTTTAAAATAAAATACAAGTTAAGAGAAGGGCAAAGATAAATGTGAATCGGTGTAGTCCAGAGGGCTTCAAGGAGGCAGAACGTGAAACCAAGAAGTCAGGCATGCAGTGGAACCCGAACAAACACAAGCAAGAAAACTCACATCAGCTTTTTTTTTAAAGTGGAACTTGAGTCTTAACGACATTTTTTAAAGGCTGTGGGGAGTAAGGAGCCCTTGTGGCACTGTCTGGTAGGTACTGTGCAGTTAACATTGGACTGCTCTCTGCAAGTTGGCAGTTCAAAACTACCAGCTTATCTTCAAGAAAATAATGAAGCTGTCTGCTCCCCAAAAGATTTGTAGCTTCAAATACCCAATAATATGTGTCACTCTGACTCAGAGTCAACTCAGTGGTAGTGGATATATTGATGGGAAATAAAGTTCAGTTGGAAAGTAGAGTGTCCCAAAGTAGTATAATTTTAAACTTTAATAACTTGGGAAAAGTAAATACAACAAATAAAAAGAAAGCCCTTATGAAATATAAAATTTATAAGATAATCATTTTCATGTCAGTGGTACTCTTCTGTTCCCTCCACCTGACTGCCTTCCAGTTGATTATGAGTCACAGGGACCCCTGGGACAGGGGAGAACTGCCCCTGTGGGGGTCCCAGACTCATTGTTGGCAGGAGGAAAAAGTCCCATCTTTCTCCAGAGGGGCTGCTGGTGTTCCAGACTACTGACTTTGCCGTTAGCAGCTCAACTTGCAACCACTCCGTCACTTTCCCTTTTCTGTTTAGTGCCTCCTTAATAAATTTTTTATTCAAATATTTTGTGGCAATAATTTCTGGGTGTCAGTGGATTGACAAAATAGGTTATCTTACTTGACCAGTTTGATCACCTAAACCATCTCAATAGACTTTTCTATTGGGGAGTGGGGAATAGAGGGGGTCACCTGAGAAACCATTATGAATGAATCAGACCCTCCTACAGATGATCTCAAGTTTAGGCTTATAAATGCATTTCTTCCAAGTGTGTTCAATGGCTGGTAAACTTTTTTAGAGGCAATTAATAAGAGCATAAGATGATAGCTATATTGATTTTTAATAAAACATGCCAATTTTCATATTTGAAAGAATAAAACTTTAAATATTGCTTTTTCTAAGTTTATAGCACTTCTGTGGATGTTACAGCTGCACTGGCTTTAGGACGCTTGTTTAAAATCCTGTCACATCAAGCCTTCTTGTCTTTCCATTCGTATATTTGAAGACCATTCTTATTAGCTGTTAACACAGAATACAAAGACCCACCACACTGACTCTAGCTTACCTGGGATGTTCCTCTGAAGATCACACCTGAGCCTGTTTCCTCTGCTCAAATCTCAGTTCTGAGAACACTGAAGCCTGTACCTGTAGTACCCATTTTTGACTGAGCTGAGACCTGGATCTTACTGCCTAGTGGACCCAAGAGGCACTTCAAACTCAGCCTGGTGTAGTGGAGGGAAAATTGGATTTAGAGTCAAAAGAATTGGCTCTGTTCCTACTTTCCTTTGTTACTCTGAGCAAGTCACTTAATCTCTCTAAGCCTCCGTATAATGGAAATATACCAGCTCTGCCACCCAGAGTTGACTGGAGGATTAAAAGAGTGAATATACATAAAAGAACCTTGTATTACGATCTATGCAAACATTGAGTATTTTCTTTTTTTTCTTTTTCTTCTCCAGGCTTCCATATTTATTGTCCAACTTTCATATGCATATGTTGTTGGGGTTTTTTTTAATCATTTTATGGGGGGCTTGTACAATTCTTATCACAATCCATACATACATCCATTGTTTCAGCACATTTGTATATTTGTTGCCATCATCTTTCTCAAAACATTTGCCTTCTACTTGAGCCCTTTACTATCAGCTCCTCATTTATGCGGTTTGTTTGTTTTTCACCCCCTCAGAAGGCCCTCCGTGACCACCAGCTCAGCTCACTCCTGCTGATCCTGTATTTTCTTAAACCTGTTTTTCCCTTTTCCTGGGTTACCCCTTAGTTAATGACATTCACCATTACTGAATCTAGAAATCTCAGCAATCATATTTCGTTATTTGCCTGCTGTGCAACCAGCTTTGACAACTTCTAATCATTTTACTCTGCAAATACTCCCATGTATTTCATATTCTGAAGACTGCATTGGCTGTAGAATCCAACTCCCAGCATTATCATCTGGGATCATTTGGATAATAAGTTGTGAAGATTACTGAAGTTAATATATGTAAAGTGCTATAGCATGTCTAGCACTTAATAAGCACTCAATGTTAACTTGTATGATCAGAAGTTTGCTTTCATACCATCTAATAGTGTAGTTTGTTGAACTCTTTGTATCTCACTTAGGTGATTGTGTGTTCCTTAAAGGCAGAGACCAGATCTTCGTGTCCCTAGTCTCATCTATTTGATATACAGTAGGTCTCAGTAAATGTTAGACTTGTAAACTTTTTGGCAAGTACATATATCTAGAATTTCTGATTCGTCATTGCTTACATTCTTTTTTTTACAGGAAAAAAGCCTCTGGTCAAAACAGCAAGAAGAAAGTAGCTCTTGAAGACAAAATTTAAAAACAGAATTTATAATAGACTGTCCCCAAGATACAATTTTATCATCCCAGTGTGAATGTTGTCATCACAGAGTAAAGTCATAAAATCACATGTATCAAACATTTGAAATCAACTGCAAGTCCATAGGAGTGGTGGAAAATGATTTCTGATTCTACTATCAATGTGACAAGTCAAGTTTCAGTTTATAGGTGACTTTTAAATAATTGTGCCATGGAAATAAGTCACTTGACTTTCTGGGGTTGAATCCAAAGAAATACTTCTTATAGAAGACCAAAAGTGTGTTATTAACACTCTATGTGTTGAACTCTTAAGGATCTTCCCCTTCAATTATGAAGGAAGGTGTGAAGTGCTATGAAGAGGCATCTGGAACAGAATCTCAAAGGATTGCATTCAGCCTCCCTTTTTTCTGATGCACAATAAGCAACGATTTGTCTGCCAAGAAAAAACCCACAGTTCTCTCTCTGTTCTATTACTTGATTTGTGATGACTTTTTGTGGAATGAGCCACAGCAGAGAGATTCCTCATCTGTGACTGGTTATTCAAGTTCCATGGGATTTTTGATTCTTCGGTCCATTAAATAGCCTTAAAAGCCACCTTGGTAAGGTAGATCATACTTTACCTAATATAATGTTGCAAGTACAAGATTATGGTCAGCCTGTCATTTTCCTACTTCATTTTCCATGATTTAACCAAGCTCTTTCCTGTCTTTTTCCATGCAAGATCGTTTTGGTAGGAAACTGATAAACATTTTATCAAGATAAGAAGACTGTTCCTGTTACTTGATGCCTCCGAGTTCATTTTCTCAAAGCTTATCTTTACTGAGGCTTTATGGCCCTTCCCCATGTAGTAAACAGATCTCGGCCAGAGGCACGGATTCTGATTATCCTGTGATAGAAAAGATCCACTGCTAGTAGAAAGGCTTTTGCTATGGCTAATTTTGTATCGTGGAACAAGAACATTAATTTTATACCTGTTCCATACTTAAAGTGGTGCTTGACATGTGTTTAACTACTATCCTGCTAAAATACAGTTTTCTTAGCAATTATTCACAACCTTTTGACAGGTAGGCTCTGGCTTTCATATTATAGAGGGATCAAAAATTGTTCCATCTTAAGAATTTATTTAAATGAAGCTCTATTGCTTCGGGGTGTAAAGTATTTACAGACACGTCGTATTTTGTTCACTATTGCAAACAAGGCCTCGAGTGAATATATGCTCTA